GTACATGTTTAATTTGTTTAAAAATAATTATACATTAAAAATACAATTCAAAGTATTGTTTCTGTTTTGTGTCATAGTAAGAAACTGTCATACATGGTAAAATATCAGTAAAGACAAAAAAAAACACTTTTCTGCTTGAAAATGCGCGTTTCACAAAAAGGCTGTTTTCTCCAAATCTTGGTCAGGAAACAGCATTTTGTGTGAAAGTTACCTATGTTGCACTCTCAATTGCTAAAAAACTAAAAGGGTTAGAAACTTACTTTTTTTAAAAATGAAAGCCAAGGGATAGAGCTTTCATTTGGTATGTTTCATACTTGTGTCAAGCAAGGGCTCACATTTCTATGCGGTTCGGAAAAACACTAAAAATGTCCAAAATCTCTGGCAGTATGAGGGATGCTGCTTTTTAAATGGCTGGCAGTGAATGAGTTAATTATTTTCTGTAGAACTGTATTACTTTGGATGTGTTTGTTGTATCAACACAATTGACTGAAAGATCAAATAGTTCATAGTTCATGAAGCATCATTTCAAGCACAACACATTAGACAATAGATTGTAAATATATATATTATTAACATTAGATCTCACCATTCATTGTAAGCACTTAAGAGTGTTATGTATTTTTTTGTCCACATGATGGCGTGGTGGAGCATGAATCACCTCGAGCCTTCTAACCATGGGCCGAGTAATAGGCTGCAAACCCTCAATGCATCATGGGGCTTCATATTGCCATCACTAGTTCAAGCCATTATTATAATCAGGGGTGCACATAACGTTTTCAGTGAGCTACTCCATTTGTCACGTGGTTCTTAATCGTGATTTTATACTTGCTTCTTTTTTAATGCTTAAGGTTAGATCAGTTAAAATAATCCACTCAATCCAAGTCTGTTGACTGTTAAGTGTTTGACTTAAGTGTCATGACTGAGCTCACTGTGACAAGCAAATTAGTTTGAAAATACACACAATATGAACTCTATAGCACCACCTATAGGAGGCTTTGAACCTAGAAATAAACTGCATAAAAAAAGTCACTGGGTCAAATCTTTTAATCCATACAAGCAAAAATGTTACATTACGCAGAGGGTGCATGTCCCACAGATGACCACTAGGGGTGAACTATAGCGTGCTCTCCTGACCACAGGCTCAGACCTACAGAGCTGAAACTCACATCACTAACAGTTTGCAATGACCTGAGCGTAATGCTGTGAAAATACACCTTATATGACTCTACAGCGCCACCTATGGAAGGTTTCTGACCTAAGCTTTTCCGCTCCTCACCAAAGTTGCACAATCAAATCTTTACACTAGTACGAGCAAAATACTGCTCTACGTAGAGGGTGCATGTCCGGACGTGACCACTAGGGGCGCACTTCATCCTATTAATGAGGTATTATGTACGTAATCCTGGTCCCATCGGGCTGCCAATTCGTCGGCGAGTACGCCTTGTGACGCTTGTGGGACTGGCGCCCGGGAGGCGGTCGCAAGAGTGGCGAGGCCTTTCATCGCCGCTTGCGGCTTTAATTTAGATTCCAATTGCTCCATTTCTAACGTCCAAGATTTATGTTTGGAGCTCGTATAACTTATCATATGGCCTCTTAAAAATGCTTTGAATGCTTCCCATCGAATAGAAGCTGATGTTTGATCAGTATTGTTAACAAAAATTTCTGACATTTGCGCCCCAATATATTCCATAAACCCTGGATCTTTCAACCAGAAAGGCTGCAAACGCCGGAGGCGAAGGCTGCATGTTGCTGAAGTTTAGTCCATAGTTGCACTTGTTATCGAACCAGAGGAGACCGATCCTTCCAGGCTGTCGCACCTAGACTCTGGAACGATCTCCCGCTCTCTCTACGATCACTTGACTCTGTTGCAGAGGTTACATTAACTGAAAATTCTCCGTCATTGACGGATTTTTTTTTTTTTTGACGTAAAATTTGGAAGGCCATCCGTCATTTTGAAGGATTGAAAATTAAGTTAAAATTTTACATTGCGAGTCGTAGTTGACCGTCCTCTCCACTAGATGGCGCCAGCGCCGTTTATATGATACAGGCTGTCACATGTCATATTTGACAGATAGCAGTCATTAGCAAAAATGTCAAATCAGTTGAGCCTAAAAGATTTTTTTCAGCGATCTGCTTCAGCTCAAAATAATGACAGCAGGGGACAAAAAAGACCCCCTTCATTTGAGGAGGACGATGAAGACACCATTCAACATCCGTCGGTTTCACCCCCTCGTCCACCGGACCGAGGCGCCAAGGAAACCCGAAGGGAGTATCGGTCACAGTGGGAGCAAGAGTTCACATGGCTAACCATGAAAGATGGAAAAATGTATTGTCAAATTTGCCAAGAAGCTAAAATGAGCAACGGCTTTGTCCGTGGTTGTCCCACTTTTCAAAAATCATCATTAAATGACCACAAGAAAAGCTTAAGCCATAAGGAAGCATCTCGTATTTTGAACCAAAGTGTAGCTATGGAGAAGCATGTGTCGCAGTCACAGGCAGCTTGTAACGAGGCTCTGAAAACCCAACTGAAAGTTGTACTTCACATGGCGAACACCAATACACCAAGCCACCTTTACCCAAAAATAATAGAACTATTACAGTCCACTGGCTGCCCAAACTTAAACGCTGCACACGTGTACACTCACAACCAAAGTGTGAACGAAATGGAGGATGCGATAGCTCAGACCATAAACAACACTGTTAATGACAGCAGATTCGTTGGCATAATACTGGATGAAACCACGAATATCACAGTGGACAAAATGCTGATAATAATAATAATAATAATAATAATGCATCAGTTTTATATAGCGCTTTTTTGGACACTCAAAGACGCTTCACATGTGTCATTATTCATTCACTCCATACACGGTGGTGATAAACTACTGCTGTAGCCACAGCTGCCCTGGGGCACACTGACAGAAGCGAGGCAACCAGTATGTGCCATCGGCCCCTCCGACCACCACCAACCATTCACACACACACCAGACTCATTCTAGGCAATGGGAGTGAAGTGTCTTGCCTAAGGACACAACAGCAGTTTGGCACTTTACAGCCGCAGCCGCCCCACTGTGGCTGGTGTTCCCAGAGGTTAAGTGTCTTGCCAAGGACACAACGACAGTAGTCAGTGGGAGTTGATGGTGGAGGTCTTGAGCGGGGCTTGAACCCACGACCTTCTGGCTCAAAGGCCAACGCTCTACCAACTGAGCTACTGCCGCCCTATAATCTACACACACTTTCCCCCTCTCCATACGTAACACACACACACACACTTTCCCCCTCTCCATACGTAACACACACACACACACACTTTCCCCCTCTCCATACGTAACACACACACTTTCCCCCTCTCCATACGTAACACACACACACACACGGGCGGCACGGTGGCTGAGTGGATAGCACTCTCGCCTCTCAGCAAGAAGGTCCTGGGTTCAAATCCCGGTTGGACCAGGGCCTTTCTGAGTGGAGTTTGCATGTTCTCCCCGTGTCTGCGTAGGTTTCCTCCGGGTGCTCCGGTTTCCCCTACCACTAAAAATATGTACAATAGGTCTGGCATGTGCCTCCTGTACTGGCACCCCCACTCCCAAAAAATAACAATTGTAAACCGCTTTGAGACTCCGATGTGCAGTGAAAAGGCGGTATATAAACAAAGATTACTACTTACTACTACACACACTTTCCCCCTCTCCATACGTAACACACACACACACACTTTCCCCCTCTCCATACGTAACATCCACACGCATCATCTCTCCCCTCTGTTACCGTCAAAGTTGCACACTGGCGCGGGTCAGAACTACATTGGAGCTTACATTTACACACACATATACATACATACACACACACATACTGGTCTGTCGCGCTCCTCTGTGTCACGGAGCCCAAAGGATTCGCGCAAATACGCGGCTCCAGTCAAACCACATGGAACATGTTTGTGTTTATGGTCCTCGGGATCAGCTCCACACACATCACTTGTATTTAAACTTTTGTGAAGACCTGTGAGACGCGGCTCGTCACTCGCTGCTCTGACCATGTGAACGAGCCGTCGTTTGCTGCTAGAAAGTTTTGGTATTAACCCGCAGAATGGGAAGATTAAAAAAGCAGTTCTCTGTGCGCAAAGGTGCCGGAGCTGTTGCGGGTTTGGGCGCCGCTGTCTCAACTCTGATCCAGTAGAACGCAGAGCTGCACTTATGAAAAGTACGCGGCTCGAAATGGCTGTTATTTCAAAGAACGTGGACTATTTTAAACAACGCGGTTAACCGGTTTCAACCGGTTAATGAGGCTCGGTGGTCGGTCATGAAAATTCATAGTTTTTTACACAATTACGGCTGTTGGGCAGAGCACACAGCCAGCTTCGACAGGTTTTGTTAAGGATCCAGGTTTGGTGAGGACACGGGTCATTTGGAGAAGGAAGCCTCCCTTTCCCATAGCTCCTTCCAACTGAGTTTTCTTCTCTCGGCCTTCCTGTATCATCTGTTGTCCCTGTTTTCACAGAGAAACAGCTTTTGCACTTCTTTCCACCTCTTACCGGCGCACTTCCTCAACAACTATTTTGATCTGCTTGCCGCTAGGCCAAAGCCGCCTCTTCACAACTGGACGTGTCCATGATGTCGCGATGCCTCAAGGCTGACAGCATGCTGCACTGCATCAGATGGTGTCCACTTCTCTCCGGTTAGAAGATGTGTATCATTGCTGATGGTCTTTTCTCAAGACCACTTCCGGGTCAGCTGGAGCCTCACTTTAGAACATTTGTACTTTTCAGGGAGGCTTGTGAGGGGTAGTTCAAGAGTTCCTTGGCTGTAGAGGCAGTTGTTTGTCAAACTTTGTTTTACAAGAAAAATTTTACTTGTTATGGATACTTACAGTGTGCCAAGTTGCATCATGAGTGGGGTAATGGAAAAAGGTTTGGGCCGTGGTCAGGGCAGATGAGACGCTGTGTTTTTTAGGTTCCTGCAGAATATGCTAATATGTGATACATTCATCTGTTTGTTTTTCAGTGGTTGAATGAGGAGAAATTGGTGCAGAGACTCACAGAACTTATCCACACTGGGAACGACGAGGAGGTATGTGATCAAGCAATTTTTATTTTATAGAATAAATGCACTTGAAAGTAAAAAGACATTGTAGCTCAGGAAAGGTGCTTAACGTCAATGGCCAGAGAAGCACGGTGCCTGAGTGGTTTGCACACTCACTTCTAAGCAAGAATATCTTGGGTTGAAATCCTGGTTGCTTGTTGACCTGACAAAGTCCTTCAACATCAGGAGTGTGGTCCTCAATGCTCCCAACAGAGGTTCTAGAGTCAAATTCAGAGATATTTTTCTAAAGGGGAAATAAAGTATATCTTAAAGGTGCCATATTTCGCTTTTCACAGTCCATCCTATGCACATGTGTGATAATTTGGGAGATACACCATACGTCACTTGTCAAATGATCGCCATTTGTGCATAGAGGTGACGTCACCTCATGTGAAACGAGCTGATTTGTGCTCCTCTGCCTGTGAACCCGCTTTCCCCGCCCGCACAGTGACACCAGGTTTCTAGATCAGCTTTTGAATTGGTCCCGTTTCAAGGTAAGCGTTGTTCTGGAACAGTCTTTGGGGAAATGTAAAAGAAACATCTGCGAGTTTCGTTGCAAATTTCAGACTAGCGGATACGAGGCAGATCCCCGTGAACCAAGTGGATCCCCATTCGCCTCATTCTCCGCCTTCGGGTCAAATACTCTCGAAAATATTTTTTCTCAAAGTTGACATGAAGCTAACACAAAAAAGCACAAAATCGTATTTACAGTTTATGGACCACACGATGAAGAGGCTGCATGCACTGACAATTTGAAACGAGTTTCTGTGCCTCTCGAGAATGAAAAAGTAAGATTGTTCTCAAACTGAACCTTGAGGGAATCATTGAAAAAAACGACTCTGGACATGAGTATGAAGGCCAAAACCAGAGAAAAGTCAAAAAGCATAATATGGCACCTTTAATAGAGACCTGGGCAAAGTGCGGCCTGGAGGCCACCTACGGCCCAATTCACGTTTCTAAATGGCCCTCTGACCTTTTCCCTACCCTTTCCACCAATTGAAATGAATACTACAATGACACGTTACCTCATAATTCATCAAAATATTAATCTTTCCTAGACAATTAAACTTCTTTAGCTTTAGCCCAGCTTTGGTTCAGGCCTTTTTTGATATTTAATAAAATAACTTCAATATTGTATAAGGTTAACAAAAATATATCCACAAATGCAAAAGATAAGCCAACACTTTACAAAAGATAACATTGGAATCTTAAGGTCTCCCTCTACTTTTTCTGTAAATACTTAGGTTGATCAAGTACATTGATATTTAGGAGCAGAACAGAATTTACGTACAACAGAGTTCCATCATTGTTCTTTTCACCAGTGTCTGCTGGTGATGATCTGACATAGGGTTGGGCGATATTTTTTTTGTACAGGTATACCGGTATAAGTAAATTAAATGATAAGAAAATGCCTTATACCGGTGAAAACAATCATTTAACACTGAAAACGGTTTATATTACAAAGGACAAACTTTTATATATTTTACAAATTACAAATGTTCACCTTTCTTACATGTTGCCTGCAATTTTCAGTATGTACAAAACAGAATTCTCTACAATTCAGTTTTGTTAATACGTTTTATATACAATAGCTGTATTGCACATTTTGCTGCCAATAAATCAGTAAATGCACTTTGAGGCAAGTGTGTTTAAAATGATCAATGCTAAGTTTTTATAGCTTTTATATGAGGCTTTGTTAAAATTATATCGTCATATCGTGATACATACCAACAAAAATCGTGATACATGCTGAGGCCCATATCGCCCAACCCTAATCTGACACCCCTGACTCATTATGTGTTTGGTACATTTTAATTTTCAGTTAAACAATGTTCTAAAATAAAGTGGTCTGCTCACTTCTGCATTCAGTCCCAGGGCCTGGAAACTGACTTCAAAGTTTTGAAATTTGATGTCATATTCCTCTGACAGAGACAATCAAATGCGTCCCAAACTCTCTGTGACATCATACGCCTCAGTCGTGACCAGGCCACTCAGATGCAGGAGAATTCAGAGGATCCACTTCTGTCCATTCTCGAGTCGTGAGTACACAGCACACACACACACTCACTGAGCCATGGAAATGCACCAGACATTTTCAATTGCAAATAACAGTTTGAATGGTCCACACTATAATTATCATGACCATATGACCTCAATGTATATTTATCATGCTTTACCTTTGTAAAGCACTCCTATTGTTAAAAAGCATTTGTAGGCCTGTCACGATAACAAATTTTGCTGAACGATTAATTGTCTCAGAAATTATTGCGATAAGCGATTATATTGTCGTTCTGAGATCATTTGCATCGATTACAATGATAATGCAGGTACACCTTATCAAAGAGAAAATAACTTTTATATTTAACGCTAGAACACAATAATCTGATTGTGTTTTAGATGCATATGCAAGTTTGTTGTGTTGCCGCTTTTAACTGCAACTGTTTTCCAACAAATGCGACACACCGACTCGCATATGTTCAGTGGTTCACCACGGGCATTCGGTTTAAATCCGAAATGCTCCCACACTGCAGCTGTCGCGTTTGGCTTGGAAACCAATTCCATCGTTTTGTCCCGCACTCGCAACTAGCTTTCTCTCTGTGTAGTGCCTACCGGTAAACTTCTCTCGCGGCTCCTCAGCTGCACTCTGTGGGCTACGCCAGTAGTCCCACCTCCCCACACACCAGGCGAATGACAAGTGACTAACATGTGGGTTCACCAATGGGTCGTACAGAAGTCCTGCTGCGGTATCGCCCACCGGAAGTAGCGGGGCGGGCTTTGATGCTAACAGCTAAGCTAGCGGGTTTTTTGTGTAAAGTTCTACTCCAAGAATGCAAGTCTGCAGCATCTCTGTGTTCAGAGACCTTCTAGAGACTTTATATAACAGCAGTATGTGTTCACGGAGGTGCGCCATAAGTTTATTTTATTGGTATGGTACGCTACTTCTGCATCGGCGAACACGCTAACGCTAGCTGCGCTAGTATAGTCACTAATCAAGCCTGAATGAGAACTCAGCTGCCGACATATGTTCACAACTACTGTGTCCCCCATTGTCAATCCTGGTTAAGTCCTGGTTTAGGTCCTGTTTTTTTGGCTGTATTTTGTATTTTTGAGTAATTTCCGTCTGCTTGCTAGACCGCTAATGTTCCCGTGACCACTTTGCGGCTCTCTGACCCGAGAGAGAGGGGGAGAGAGAGACGGGGAAAACAAACAAGCATGTAAATGGGATTTATCGCGGCCAGAAAAGTTATTGAGCAAATTTTATTTATCGTGCGATTAATTGATTTATTGACTATCGCGACAGGCCTAAGCATTTGTCTTATGGTGCTTTCAGACCGCCAACGCTGAAACTCACGTTCTCTAGTTTTCAGACACAGGGGTCTTCAGACCAGAAGTCCTAGCGCGCGCCGGCAGGCTCTGATGCTAGCAGAGTTTAGCTAGCGGCTTCTTGTGTACAGATCTTCTCCAACAATGCAGCTTTGCAGCGTGTCTGTGTTCAGAGACCTTCCACTGACTTTATATAACAGTAGTATGTGTTCACGGAGGTGCGCAATAAGTTTATTTTATTATTAAACGGTACTTCTGCATTGGCGAACACACTCGAAGCAGTTGCATAAGGTCACGGGAGCATGACAACTCACATGTTAACAATCACTATGTCCCCCATTGTCAACCCTGGTTTAGTCCTGATGTAGCTCCTGTTTTGGCTGTTTATGAGTATTTTCAGTCCGCTAATGTCCCCGTGACCACTTGATTGGTTGCTGCACGAACGTCCCGAGGAAAGGTTGAGCAAAACTATTCGCGTTCCTCCCCTTCGACTTCCCCGCGCAGTCCGTGCGTGCATTCCGAGACGCTCGTGCGGTTTGACGCTCGAACGCGTGTCACCATTGACTTTGCATTGAAAGCTGACGCAACATATGATCTGGTCTGAACACGGCATTATACACCTGTCCAAGTAATTTGAACAAACACATCTAGGGTAAAGTTGCTGATAAAGAATAGATATAGATAGTGTTGTCATGTGAGATCAAGCTGACTTTAAAATGAATATACACAGGCATTGGATGAGGAGAAAGGATAAAAGTGACTTGAATAGTACAGTCCAGTCACCTCACACTTAAACTACTGTAAGTTTGTTGAAAGAGTTAGAAGTTTTTCCTCCGATACTGATTTGCTGCAGCTGCTGGCATTTAGGTAAAGACCACCCAGCTGGATTTCACCAATGTATGATGTAAATTCGGTTTTCTGATTGAATAATCAGCTTCTGAACCAAAATGTATCAAATGTTTTGGCCTCCTGTCCAGTAACTTTTTCTTTCTATTTTGAATATTTGGTGGCTTGTTCCTGAATACATTTTGTTGAAACTTGTGACATAGTAGTTGAACTCAGAGCGGGTCTGATCATCCTGAAACCTGTGTTACAGATTCTGCCTCGTTCTCATTACTTTCAGTGTGAGGATGATGCGTATTGTTCGCGTGTGCACCTGCTGTGCAACTACAGCAATGTGCCTCCTGTTGTTTTAACTCTGCCTTTCGGTGCGTGTGGTTTGCGATGTTGACATTTTGCTATTATGACGTCGGTTTCTAGATTTTGGCATCATTTTTCTAAAAGATTGTCGTTTGGGTCGTTCCTTTACATAACTGTAGTCCTCCCATGGTTGTAACTTGTGAGGGCATGGTGGAACCAATGTTATTAATCTGTGTATCTGTTCATTTGATTTTCTAAATACAACCAACATTTAAAAAACAAATAACAAGGGATGTTTTTGATTCTTGATATTTGAATTTAATGCAAGATTGATTTTTTTTGTTTTCTGTGGATCCAATTAAAACAAAAATGCAGTAAACCAATAATGACCGTCTAAATTAATGCTGTGAAAACATTCAAACATATGCAGAAATATCAACCACGTTACGCCGTCTAGGTTTGTCCAAATGTTCGGAAAGGAGCGAGAAGATTTTGTAGAAGTAATCAGCTGAGACGCTGTCACGGAGACATGTCTCTTATTTTCGATACAGTGGTTAATCACAAAAGCAAACTTTTTGCATAGGCGTTATTTCATCTTACAGTCGATGTACAGTATAGGGGTCACAGAAAGGTATTCTGAGTAAATGTATTCATTATTAATGCACATGAATGATCATGTTCCTGCCCAATATCCTGCCAATGTTCAGTGCAAAACGTGTTTCTTAGTTTTTGCTGTTCCAACTCCCTTTCCCTGGAATTATTTTATTGCAATATCCAAGATCTGCCTTCCACAGTTTCATGTATATCTATCTTCTATGTGTCTTCTATGTTTATTTCCAAATTAAAACACACTTGGGCAGAATTCTGTAGTTTATTTTTTTTATGTTGCATTGCAAGGGAAAAGAGTTAATACAAATACTAAACTAATAGTGGATTATGTAGCATATGAAATTATTTTTGAGAATTACACTTTGAATGTACCTTTGCAGATCAACTTACACCTCATTGACTTCCTTTCAGAAGCAACACAGGTCCATTTTTTATTTAGACTTTAATAAGGACTCGCATGCAAGGACAGGATCCATAGCTAAGAATAATGAAAGAAAAATTAAAAAGAGCAGTGTTAAAAACACACATAATAATCACAAATACAGTGCCTTGCGAAAGTATTCGGCCCCCTTGAACCTTTCAACATTTCGCCACATTTCAGGCTTCAAACATAAAGATATAAAATTTTAATTTTTTGTCATGAATCAACAACAAGTGGGACACAATCGTGAAGTGGAATGAAATTTGTTGGATAATTTAAACATTTTTAACAAATAAAAGTGGGGCGTGCAATATTATTCGGCCCCTTTACTTTCAGTGCAGCAAACTCACTCCAGAAGTTCAGTGAGGATCTTTGAATGATCCAATGTGGTCCTAAATGACTGATGATGATAAATAGAATGCACCTGTGTGTAATAAAGTCTCCGTATAAATGCACCTGCTCTTTGATAGTCTCAGGGTTCTGTTTAAAGCGCAGAGAGAACCATGAAGACAAAGGAACACACCAGGCAGGTCCGAGATACTGTTGTGGAGAAGTTTAAAGCCGGATTTGGATACAAAAAGATTTTCCAAGCTTTAAACATCTCAAGGAGCACTGTGCAAGCAATTATATTGAAATGGAAGGAGTATCAGACCACTGCAAATCTACCAAGACCCGGCCGTCCCTCCAAACGTTCCTCTCAAACAAGGAGAAGACTGATCAGAGATGCAGCCAAGAGGCCCATGATCGCTCTGAATGAACTGCAGATAACTACAGCTGCGGGTGGGGATGGTGTGTTCAGGGTGATGAGCTGTGTTGCTTTTACGCCAAACATATCGTTTTGCATTATGGCCAAAAAGTTTGATTTTGGTTTCATCTGACCAGAGCACCTTCTTCCACATGTTTGGTGTGTCTCCCAGGTGGCTTGTGGCAAACTTTAAGAGACTTTTATTGGATATCTTTGAGAAATGGCCACTCTTCCATAAAGGCCAGATTTGTGCAGTGCACGACTGATTGTTGTCCTATGGACAGACTCTCCCACCTCAGCTGTAGTTATCTGCAGTTCTTCCAGAGCGATCATGGGCCTCTTGGCTGCATCTCTGATCAGTGTTAGGATTCAGCAGACAGAGACGGATCGTGGTGCGCCAAACTCTGGAAGTTTATTTAAGTTTCTCTCAAGTTCCACTGGTTTACTTTGTTTCTTTCTCTCAGACAGAATAAAGGCAGTACACAGTTTATATAGTCATTGTCACGTCACACATCAAAAGACGTACGTGTCACAAAGAGACAGTCACATCATAGTCATAACATGGAGTCCTTGTAGAGTCCTTGTACAGTCCTGCACGTAGGCCATATTGCTATCTAATACTAACACCCTCCCCTTTGATCACATAATCACATGTGATCACTCAATTTGATCAATCAATAAAGTGGAAAAATAAAAAAAAATAAAAAATAAAAATAAAAAACTTTAAAAAATTATTAAAAACAAAGAAAATGTATGCATTGAACTCATAATCATCAAATCAATATCAGTGGATTTTATCC